TTGGGGGCCTCTTGGGCCGTCTTGGGCCATCTTAGAGCCATGTGGGGCTGTCTGGTGGGCTCCTGACCAGTCTGGCGCCGTCGGAAGCTGTCTTCGGGCCTCTCTGGGCAGACTGCGGGCCCTCTTGGTGTGCTCCATGGCAGTATTGGAGGTCATTTTGAGCGTCTGGGAGGTTTCTTGGGCAGTCTTCGGGCCCACTTGGGGCCTTCTGGGGGGGGGGGGGGGGGGGGCGCTCGGGCAGTTCTGGGGGCCATGTTGGAGGCCTCGTGGGCGATCTTGGGGCGATCTGTAGGGGCTCTTGGGCTGTCTCGGGCCTAGTCTCCGTGGAGGTGCCCCTAAGCTCCATAAGTTGCTTAAATATGAGAATCGGGTGAAAGGCTTCGAATGGGTTGCGCAGATCCAGGCCCCTCCAGACATGATGAGATATCGGGGACAGTTTTGGGGTAGCTGGTGGACCCCTGATGGCGATCGCATTTGGGCTCCTCAACAGTACGTTTGGGGAGTTGAGAGCAGCAGCCCAGCTCGCTGTTATGCAAGCTCTTGAGTTTGAGGTTCGCGATCTTGTTGAAGCGTGCCACTATTTCGCTGCTGCTACCGCTACGGCATGGTATCATCGTGCATGGCTCTCTTTGCTTGGTCATGCGCCCGACGGGGCCTCGCAGATCTTTAATCGAGTTGAGCAAGCGCTCATGTTCCCGAGTCCGTGCCTGGTCAATGTTATGGCGATGCCCTCCAAGAGTGCGTCTGATGAGCGAGCGGTGTCTCCAGGTTCCACGTGTCATCGTGTATACGTGCGCGCGTGGTAGTCTGATTGGCGAAAGGAACAGCACTCATGTGGATGATTGGGGTGCTGCTGCCAAGGTGTCATCGGATCTGCAGAGCGCCCTCCTTAGGCCTCCCTGATGCGAAGTTGCTTCTCACGTCGGTTGCGGGCCCCTGTCTGCGCATTGGGGCATGGGGCGTTTTCTCGGCAGCGTGGTGGTCCCGCTGCCTGTGCAGCTCGCTTTGAAGCTGGACGACCTTTCACTGTTGCTATATTTAGGCTTGGTCGTGCATGCATGCCCGCGCGTCTTGGAGGTGGAAGGTACTTTATCTACCGCCAGTCCTGCTGGCAATTCTGTCTTAGCTGGATGTGCTCAGTCTATGCCGTGGGTGAAAGCTCTATTGCATGACGCGTTGCATCGCGTGCATTGGCATGTTCCGCGCAGTAATTATTTCGTCGCATGTCGGTGACGTCACGCAGCACGCGCAAGGCACGATCAAGTATGTCACGTTTGTGGCTCCCGCTGCGGTTTTTTCCAGAGTCACCGCTACTGGATGCCGAGTCTCGGTGGGGAGCGCCACGATTGCACCCTCGCCTCTGTTGGTGAGGCAGGCCAGCACCGAGTTCGAGCGTCTTGTGATTCCTGTCCAGGCTTTGGAGGCGGTCAAGGATCTTGGGGCGATGTCTATAGCTGGGAGGAGGAGGTGCATGTCTAAAGTTCAATTACATATGGGAACGGTATTTAGGCGAGCTCGTACGTTGCAGCGCCTGGCAAAGCTGCAAGGTAGGTCTCGCAAACTATGCGTACCTGGAGTGCGGAGCGTTGAGACATGGAGTCATTGCGCACTTGGGCTTTCGGGCGTCTGCGGCGAAATGTTCGGGGCGAAGGTCCCCCAGGTGCTTGTGCTTCTATTGCGCTGGCTGTTCGCCATCAATGCGCCGACGACCCCGCTTGCCGATTGCGACGTGAACAGCTTTGGGCTCTCGCGGGGATCTGGGAGCAGCTTTCTCCTGGGCTGAGATCTGGTGTCGCCCGGACGTGGACCTCGATCAGGGCTGAGTTGCTGGGCGCGAAGGCCAATCGGCGCCGGGCTTTTGTGAAAGGCCTTATTTCTGCTATTGTTGCTACCCTGTTGGATTAAGGATGGGTGCCTGATTCTCCCACGAGGTGGGCCACGTCTTCTGGCGCGCTTGACCTCGAGGACCTTGGTTTCGAGTTTTTTCTGGACGAGCACGCGAGTGAAACTGTCTCCAGGTTGCCCTGAGGAAAAGCGTCGACCCATTATTATGGAGTTGGTTTGGATGAAGGAGTTGGTTTGACGATGCTTCGACGCATCCATGGGAAGTTAGTGTCTGAATGAGCCCATCTAGATGCACAGTTGCTCTGTTGCATCGTCGATGGTGGATGCTTGCCCGAAGCACGGTTTCGGCAGGTTGGCTATCCTTCGTCTGGTGTTTGCCCGCATTGTGGAGCAGGACAAGGGATTATGATGCACGGGGTGTGGCAGTGCCCGTGCAATCCTGATATTAATTCCAACGCCATGTCGCAGTCTTTTTTTTTTTTTTTTTTTTGTTTTTTTTTTTTTTTCTTTTCCTCCTGAAGCTCAGGAGGCTGCTCGAGCATGTCCTGAAAGTGCCTTCTGGAATCGTGTGCTTTCTACCTTGGCTTCCGCCGTCGACCAGGCCCCTCCTCCGGGCCACTTCGTTTTCGCTTGGGGCCTCCTTGTTAATGGTTTTCCTGTGGAAGGTGGAAGGCGGGGCCTTGACGGCTCAGGTGGCAAGTGGGCTCAAGATTGGAGGCTTCGACGATGTGGGTGTCTCATGGTCAAACACGATCCTGGTTGCTTTCCTGGGGATTGCAAGGTCGACGGTGTGTTCTGTGGCACTTTCCCGTTTTATGCGCATTCCAGTCCGCGTGCTGAGATGCGCGCGTTCCTCCAGTTGCTCGTTCACACCACTGGCGACATCGTGGCGCAGTCGGACTACCTCCCCTTGGTGCGGGCGCCCAGGTGGCCCCGAACATATATTGCCCGCGCGTCCCCGATGCTGGGTCTGTGGTGTTTGACCTGGGCCCAGATGGATCGGATATCTGGTCGTGTCGAAGTGATCTGGACGAAGACCCATGTTAGTGATTCCCTGAGGGATGCCTGGGGCTAGTCTGAAGAGGAACACGTTTTGAATGCATGTGCTGCATATTTTTGTTGGATTGGCCGCTGCCAAAGGGAAGGTAGAATCTGAATATGTCAAGCTGATAGCCGACGTTGATTTCCTAACCTCTCCAAGTTTTGTTGCGGCTGCTGGGCGTCAACAGGGAGGTCAGCCTCACCTGCGCCCGCAATAAGGCCGATCACGTTGGTGGGCCGCCTCCTCGTCCGAAGGCGTCGCGCGCGCACCGACTGTGTCCGTCGCCCACGCCTTCGCGGTGTTGGTCGCTCTGTGGTCGAGAGTAAGGGTTGTTTGCGGTGCGAGGTGCGTCGACGTACTGTCCCAGTTTATAGAGGCAGGATTTCTGATTTTTATACTGGGCGGCGCGTGGGGGAGCCTCCCATGAGAGACGGTCCTGAAGCGGCCATTGCTCACCCCGCGCATCCCCGCGCGCATGCTTCCCACGCCTTTGACTGCCTCGAGGGTGTGCTGTTTTGCAGGGCACGCAGCTGCCACTGCGTGGACACAACCCAGTCTCTGGCCGAGCCGCGCCCTCCTCAAGGCACCTCGTAGACGGGCCGCGAGGTCTTGTCTAGACTGTCGCGGGGGCTTCCACCGAAGAGTGTGCAATCCTTCCCGCGTGGATGGTGATGAGGAGCTTGGGCCCCTGCCCCATCATGGAGTGCCCATTTTTGCAAGGTCAAAGGTCCTCCTCGTCCTTATATTGGGACCCCTCCTTTCTGTTTGATGGTTTTTGTTGTTTCTGTGCTGGTGGTGGGCCCCGCTCGGCCCTCCCCTCGTCGCCTCTCGCGTCGTCGTCCCTCCGTCGCGTCGCCGCCCCACCGCCGCTGCGACGGCTGCCGTTCACCGTGTCGGCCACGGTGATCCAGCAGGACCGCCCACCGCGCGTTGCCGCGCGCGCTGCGGGACAGAGAACGGTGAGTTTTGTTTATTCGCGTCTCGTGCTCTTGGCCGCCCTTCTTTCTTCGGTCGGTGCCCCCCCTCGCCTCGCAGCTGCGCCCTGCGGTTGCCCCGGGGGTTGCTCGGGCGGGCGGGGCCCCAGCGGAGGTGAGCGGGCGCTCTCAGGCTGCTCACCCCCTCTCCGCGTTTATCGTTGTTCTCCCGGCACGGAAGGTCACCGGGGCACCCCTGGAAGGATCGCTTTGTTCCCCCCGCCCCAGGTCGGGGCCGCAGCCGTAGTTCTCTCTTGTTTTGGGGTTCCCGCCCCCAGGTACGGGAGAAAGGTATTGCTGGCCGTCCTGGGGTCGCGGCGGGAACAGGCGGTTCCCCCGGGGGGGGCCCCCCCCCGGTGGTCTTTCGGACCGAAGGGCACAGTGACGCTGCGGTACTAGGCCCCCGCGACGGGTGGCGAGCTGTCCCCCAGCCGTTCTTGGGCGGGAGGTGCCGCTAAAGGGGCTGTGCCCGCGGCCCCGCCAGAAGCTTGCCCAAGCCGCCGCCGCCCTCTTCCTCCTCCTCCTCCTCCTCCTCCGCCTCCTCCTCCAGGAGCCGCCCAGGCACGAGCGCCCGCGAGCTCCGCCCAAGGCCAGCCCCGCCCACCACATCTCTGCGTGCAGGAAGCCGGGGCAGAGCAGAGGGACTGTGCCACTCGGGCGGCAGCGAAAAAAAGAAACAGCAACACGCCCACACTCCCCCCACACTTCCGTTTAATGAAGTTGATTTATCACAATGCTCAATGGGCAGATTTTACTCGACTGGAAGAGATTTCCACGCAGGTCGAAAGCGTTGACTTCTTCGTCGCCATCGACGCAGGACGGGCAGCAAGACGCGCGGACATGACCGTGGCGACGTTCGAGGACTACCAACAACTCATGTGGACAGAGTATTCTGTACGGAAATAGATTTCGAGGATCGTTGATGAGAGTTGCCACGCCGCCGCCGCATTTGGGCATCACATGGCGGGTGGCGATGGCACAGTTTAACCCTGGCAGCGCAAACTTGGCGATTTTCCCCATTGACATACCTCCGAAGGGGCTGGCCGCTACAGCGTCGAGGGCAACAACAACATGCATCTTAGAGTGGATTGAGAGAGAAATCGGTAAGCTCGGCAGCTCTTGCCTGCCGATCATCGCAGGCGACTACAACTGTGGCTTCGGATGGCGAGCCGACCTCACTGGGCGAAGATATAAGACAGAGCCGGTGAACGACGGAACCAAAGAGCCCGCAGTCGAGAGCAAGACGAGTGCGCAGGTGCGGGACTTCCTTCTCGGCAGCTACTTGGCCATGGCCGCGGCCGACGCGTTTTGGCCCACGGGACCCACCTATTACAAAGGCACGCGCAAGAGCAAGATATACCACATTGCGATGCCCGTCGATAGCGTCGGACGCATTCGGCAGCTAGACCCATTGCTGCTCGGACTTGCACGACGGCTACAAAGGCGCGTCAGCACGCACTTGCATGACCACGTCCCCGTCTATGTGAACATGGACATACATGTCACTCGCGCCCACATCCCCAAGCTGACGCCACTAGCGAATAGAGGCAGCGTGATGGTGGCATGCATCGATGGTGTGCGTCGGGTGGAGCTTCTGCAGGAAGTTGGGCAGCACGCCAATAGCGTCAGCGAAGAAGAGTGGCGCAGCAAGTGGGGCCAGGGCGACGTGCAGGGGTGCTGGGATAGGCTATCATCCTGCATTCGGCAGGCCATGGCAGAACGCCCCCCCAAAGTTGCATATGACAAGGCGGAGTGTGAGCAGATTAGACAGGAACGGATCGTGCTGTTGAACGAGAGGAGCGAGAGGGCGCTTACGAGAAGCAGTGCACCAGACGGGCTCCAAAGCGTTCGACGGCGACGGATCTACAGAGTTCGACCGGATGAAGCCAGGCTTGTACCAGTTGTCGAGGCAGCTTCAACACGGCAGGAGAAAGCAAAAGTTGAAGAAAGCGATGGGCATAGTGCAGGAGATCAAAAGGCTTGGAAGAAAATGAGGCTCGCCGAAGCTCACCGACTCCGAGTGCGACTTTCGAATGCAGGTCGAGGACCTAAGAAGAGATTCATTTTCGCCCCCCGCGAAGGTATGACAGTTCAGCAGCGGGGAGAGGGGCTCGCGCAGGCAGCAGAAGACGGCGGCATGCAGTGTGAGCGTGACCAATGGGACGAATGGTTAGCATACCGAGCGTTCCTCCCCCACCTCTACGGCTCGCCCGACACCATCGGTAGGATTCAGCAGGATCGTGCAGGTCAAGTGAGGAATCTCAAACGGGCCCCAAAACGACGAGCAGGACCATCATGGTGAGTAATCGCAGAGGCCCTCTGTATGTGCATCGACCCGAAGAGATACCGAACTGACAACGACCGAAAGTTTGTGCCCGACGCGTTTTCAAGAAGATGCAACGACGTGCTGGCCCTCATTAGACTCGTAGTCTCGGCACCCCTCAGCAGCATTCGTGGTCAGGTATTCCCCGAGCAAGAACTGCCAGAAGCGGGGCATCAAGGGACAAAGGGTTCTCCATTGTTTTGATGCGTTTGGGACGAGCTATGTCGGGTACCTCCAGAGGATTTCCAGAAGACCATGCCCTCCAGATTTTGCGCGCGGAGGTTTGAGGGGGCGGAGACCAGAAGGATGCATTCTAAGTTGAGCAGCAGCAAGTTGGAGATGCAGGCAAGCAAAGCTCGGGCACGCTATCGGCAACTACGACGGCGCGAATGAATTCGCCGATCCACACAGCAGCACATACAGAGCAGAAGACGCTCACTTAGCAGACCAAGCAGTTTTGGAAGCAACCATGCACGTTGAGGCCATTGACGGCGCATCATATTTTCACCCAGAGCGCGGCGCGACCATGGGCCACTCATTGGCGGCAGGCGATTTTGTGGACATGTATTCGCGCGCTGCGAAGGACTGGAATGACAACCTCGCCGCTGCAGATGTTAGCTATACTTGGGCCCGAGGACGGTGCCCCACTACTCGAGCTGAAGTCGACGTTGGCATCGGACTTTGTGTAGATGACGTATCGCGGCTACATATCCATGCATGTGCGCCACAAGCACGCTGCAACACACAGCAGCTTAATCACGCCACCCAGGGCATTCAGGAGCACATCGCCAAGAACGGTCACGTCCTCAACAAGGACAAGACAAACCATCTCATCAGTTTTTACGGCCACGGCTCGTTTGAAGCAGCACGAGAATTATCCAGGCAGGCAGAAATCAGGGAGAGGTTTGTGGAGAAGTCAGAGTCTTGGGGCCTATCATGAGCTTCGACTGAGTTTTGAGGGCCGAGCTGAAGGCGCGCATCAAAGGAGCCAAGGCCGCATGGAGATCGCTGGGGGGCGTTTGGCACCCGCCCCTCCATCACCGACTGCTGCGAACCCTTTTTCTGTGTTTCGTATGCAGCGCCGCCGTCACTGGCCTGACGGCGCTCGTGCTACCCGCGCCCTTTACCAGCCAGCTGGACACAGTGTTGGTGCAGCTGCTGCGTTGCCTGATCCACGGAAAAGCAAAAAGAGAGTTCGACGGGCGCATTAAGACATTGAGCAGCAGTGAAGTTTTCGAATACTGGAACATCAGCCGTGCTGCCACAGAGGTCCGGGTGCAGCGACTCCGGTGGTGGCAGCAAGTAGCAAAGGTGCCCAGCAATCATCGGCAAACCTTCATTGCTATCGTCGGGGCCTTGGAAATGGACAGGCCACTTGAGGTTTCCAGATGCACACCAGAGGGGCACCTTACGCAGCGCTATACACCGTGGGCATTCCAGGTTCGGGACGACTTAGAGTCTAGAGGCCTTGGCGAACGCCGACCCCCGCTTCGACATGACTTGGACCGACAGAACAAACATGCTGCAGATGTTCAATGACCCTCACCTCGGAGCTAGCTTCGTCAAGATCCCAGTGGGTGCCAAGAGGGGCTCCCCTAGCATAGAGGGCTCAAAAATGTTGGCCCGTTTTTTTTTTTTGTTACGGAAGCTCGGAATTACAATTCTCGACGAGGCGATGACCCCGCACATCGCAGAGCACCAGCGCGAGGGGGCAGCAGCAGCAACAGCAGCATCGTAGAAGAGTACGTGTGCACGCACGAGCTGGGGGAAGAGGGCGAAGGACGAGGACGCGGCATGTCGTTCACTACGATGAAGGCGCTCACGGCGCACATCACACACTTACACAACATGCGCAACCTGCACTCAATGATAGTGCGCACGAACGTATGTCCATGGCGCAGAACGCGTTTCGCGAGCAGGGCGTCTTGCCTACGGCGCGTGATCACCAGGTCCCGCTCCGACCCCCTTCGCTGCCGCACCAGAGCCACCTCTTTTGATTTGAAGCCAGAAGAGAAGAGCTTTTACACGCGCGGAGTCTGCGGCCAAGAGGACTCCGAGATTAACGAACACCTACTACACGTAGCCACGCGCGCGCTCGGCCCATCAGAGAGCCATGGCGCGGAGAGCAGGCAGCGGCGCGAGAGCAAGGCAACGGTCGGGCACGATGGGGGCACCACCGGACGAAGCGGCGCCAGCGCGAAAGGGGGCGCGTGGTGGCCCGAAGAGAGGCTTTGGCAGCAAGCCTGGCTCAGGCGAGGGCGCCACGCACGAGGAAACCATGCTGCTGCAGAAGGTGTCGCTCAACAACGCTCAGATGCTACGACTGGTATCAGGCAGCCTATGGGACTTCTTCTCGGCAGAGGGCGAACGCAAACCAGTGGGGGCCGCGGCCGAGGGGGGGATCAACTACGCGGAGGAGGTCAAGGCCAAGGGCAGCAAGGAGATGGGGTCCCCGCGCCTCCACGCGGGGGCAGAGTTCTTCCTGGAGCTGGCCATGAGCGACCAGATCGGCGGCGAGACGAAGGACATGCCCACGCAGCTCGCGGAGCTGATCGAGGTGATGAACAAGGACGACTTCGCGGACATTATATCATAGTTTCGCGCGAAGAACGCATGCGCGGAGCCAGGCCAACCACAGAAATGTAATATTCACATAATGTTCAACTCCGTGAGCCCGTCGCCGTGGACACGGAAGCTGCCGGGCGAGGTGAACGCGCTGAGCGTCGGCAACGAGAAGGCGGAGATCGAGTTCGGCAACTTCGGAGTGCAGGACCTTCGGCAGGCCACCTGCAGTGCCCTAAGGCGACGCAGGCCCAGCAGATCTTCGGGGCGCCGCCGCCGTCGGCGTTGGAAAGGCAGCTACAATCAGCGTTCCGAGCGCGCCAGCAGCAAACACGGTAAATCTCGACGGACTCCGAGCCATGGCACGGCGTGGCAGCGAGAGAGCCCGAACATTGCTTGCACAATTGAGTCGCCGACCGCGAGCAGCGAATGGGCCCGAGATTGCATATTGAAGAATGTGCAGTCCTGATCAACATCTCTTTTTCTCTGTTTTTTTTTCTTCACACCGTGTACTCTACCTTAACGCGGCCAAAGGGCCAGGCGGATAGTTGACAGCGGAGACGAATGCGACGCAGCAGTGCGACACGAATGGCCTGAATTGGTACTGTTCTCCCATGCAGGAGGCTCTCGTCTCAGGCCGATGCCTGCCGCCCTCGTCGCCTGCCCCGCTGGCGGTTGCCCGCGCCTCGCCCTGGACTGTCCTGAGACGCTTCTGAGGCCTCGCTCGGCCCTCATCCCCTATCCCCTTTCACGAGGGGGCGGGGGCGTTCCTGGAGGTCTAGGTTTTCTTCGAAGGCTCTCCGACCTGGAACGGCCGTCAGGGAAAAGGAGCGCCGAGCGCGCTTCTAGCTCGAGCTCGACACCCTGCCCGCGCCTTAGAGCGTCACCGTGGGGAGGGGGGTGGGGGAGGAGGGGGATGGCGGAGTCTTCTTAACTGCGCACGCATTAGACGGGTTATCTCGTCTCGGGCATGCCTGAGATTTAAAACCCGTTTTCCCGTGCTGGAGGGGATGGGCCTGGAGGTCATAAACCTCCACCGTTGCATACCAGTTTTGTGAAATTTGGAGGGGCTCGGCATCGAGCTGCAGCGGGGCCATTGGGCCTAACAGGGCCAGGGGTCCCGTAGGCTGACCCCCTGCCACGCCGATAATGCCGCCAGCAGCTACCGAGCTCGCACACATGCGAGACACATCCCAGCAAAGTAGCAGTGGACTCACCAAGTGCCAAGGCTTCCGACTCCGACTCCGACTCCGA